CTGCTTTAAGATGCCCTAAAAGCAAATTGTTGATGTTTTGGTCCTATTTTACAAACTCTGAACTTGTAAAATAAAAAACATGACAAAACTTTTGTGCTGACAATATCCAATGTATTTAAAAACAAAAAATAATAATACAAAAAACGGAGTACAGTGAAAAACAGTGGTGAGTAAAGCAAACAATGATGCAATTAGCACAAACAAACAAATAACATTTTCACTGAAGGAGACAAAAAAAAACAGCTTACATGTGAAAAGTGCTTGGCTAACAGAGATTTGGGGAAATTAAATAAAACACATTAAGACTCAAGACAAGAAAGCACCTGTTTCTGTGTCAAATAGACAATAAAAATACTTTTAAAAGTCCTAAAAAAGACCAAATCAGGCTCATTGGAAACATAATTTAGTCTAGATATGTGTGAAAATACTTCAACATAAGTTTCTGACACTAGAGGGCACTACAACGACAACGGCTTTTGTTCCTTTTCACACTAAGGATACTTACAAGGACATGTTCTTGATAAATAGAGATTTTTTTCATGCAGTTTGCACAACACCAAATAGATACCACAATACAACTTAACAGTGTGTGCAATTTGTAATTGAATATGTTTGCATCGCCTATCTATCTCTATATGGACTTTTCTGGTGTGCTTTTTTTACATGTGCTTTTGAAAACACTATTGGTTGGGTTTAGGTCAGTGGTTGTTTGATCTGACTGACAAATGCCACCTTCTCTTGAATGTTTACAATAAGCACATGTATCTGAACCAAAAGGAAATAAACCCTAAGTAACATATTTTAGATTAGAAAAAATGTACACAGCGCCCTCTTGTGGATTTGTCATCTTAAACGTATCAAGAAACACACCCAGAGCAATGTATTTTACATTTCATAAAAAATGTAGGCCGAGGTGTGTTTTCCAATGAGCCTGGGTTGAAAAAGGCACTTGATGCTACACGTCTCTTATAATCCACACAGAACAAAACCAGCCTGAGGTGAAGCTCCACATTTCAGTTTTAAAAGTCAAAGCACCACATACTTCAGTCATGAACCCAAAACCGTTCAGAGTTCAATCGTACAGTGGAAACAATTTGAAGCTACATTTTAACAGAAGTGGTCGATCCTGAGTTCGCATGCTGAACTGATGCTCTTAAATGTGGTCCTAGATCCAGATTTGTATGTGCATTTATATGGATGTTTTGGAACAATAATATTTCAGAACATAAATACATACAAGAAATAATAAATAGGAATGCCATGCTTTTTAAATATACCACGTTAGTTGTAAAAAAAAATCTAAAAGTGGGCCTAAAAGACTCTCTGGAATGTGACGTAAAAGCACCAAAAATAGCTGTAAAATATAGCAAGTTAAATAAATATGCACTAACTGATAAGAATAAAATCATGATAGTGGTTTGCAACACTGGCAGGACTTATATTTTGTATGTAAAAAAAAAAAAACACCACAGGAAATTCTGAGCAAGATTGATGTGGTTAGGGGTCCTAATATTCATTCATTCATTCATTCATTCATTTTCTTGTCGGCTTTGTCCCTTTATTAATCTGGAGTCGCCACAACAGAATGAACCGCCAACTTATCCAGCATATGTTTTACACAGCGGATGCCCTTCCGGCTGCAACCCATCGCTGGGAAACATCCATACACATTCATTCCCACTCATACACTTTGGACAAATTAGTTTACCCAATTCCCCTATAACACATGTGTTTGGACTTAGGGAGAAACCACTCGAAGCACCCAGAGGAAACCCACGCGATAACAGGGAGAACATGCAAACTCCACACAGAAATGCCAACTGACCCAGCTGAGGCTTGAACCAGTGACCTTCTTGCTGTTTGGCGACAGCACTACCTACTGCACCAATTCGTCGCCCCTGTGGTCCTAATAAACATACAAATTTTTTTTTAAATGTAATAATGCTGGGTTGTTTTAACACAACGTTGGGTCAGATATAGACAAATATAACATTTATTTTTAACATGATTTTTTTCAACTGAATTTTAATAACTTTTAACCCAATGGTTGGGGTTTGTCCATATTTGACCCAACAGTGGATTAAAACAACCCAGCATTATTTTATTTTTGAGTTTATAATTCCTCCAAAAATGTTTAATTAATGATTTACTCGTCCACATGTCATTTATTTATTTTCATTTGGCTTAGTTCCTTTATTCATCAGTGGTTGCCACAGAACAAACCGCCAACTATTCCAGCATGTTTTACACAGCCGCTGCAACCCAGTACTGGGAAACACCCATACACACTCATTCAAACACACTATGGTCAATTTTTATTCATTCATTCATTTTTGGCTTAGTCCCTTTAATAATCTGGGGTCACCTCAGCAGAATGAACCGCCAACTATTCCAGCATATGCTTTACACAGTGGATGCCCTTCCAGCTGCAACCCATCACAGGGAAAAATCCATACACTCTCATTCACACACATACACTACGGACAATTTAGCTTACCCAATTCCTCTACAGCGCATGTGTTTGGACTGTGGAGAGCACCCAAAGGAAGCCAACACGGGAAAAACATGCAAACTTCACACAGAAATGCCAACTGACCCAGTTGGGGCTCGAACCAGCGACCTTCTGGCTGTAAAGCCATTGTGCTACCCACTGCGCCACCGTGACACCCTCATAGAGCGAATGATTCCTCCAATAATATTTGATTTGATCATTTACTCGTCCACATATCAGTTCTCATGTGCATGAAACTACACAATGATTTTTAAATGACAATGTGCATTACTAAAACTAAAGTAGACGATGTTTTCTTACTGTCAAGATCCAAAAAACGACATGTACATGACATGAGAACGAGTAAATAACACTCTTTATGTCTAGATGGACTGTTCCCTTTAAGTGGTGCATGAAGCTCAGTGCAGATGATCTTATAGAAAACCATAAACAAAACAAATCCAGAGACACTGCACATGTGTGAATATGGAAAGCTAAATTTCCATTTAAAACATGTAAATAAAACGTGTGCGCAAAATTGGAATATCGCATAAAAGTTTCCCAAATAAAGCAGCGTTTTTATCCAATGAGTAACACAAGAGAACAAAATGGTCACTTCCTGAAAAACTGGAGCAGATATCAGACAGAGAATGTAGTTTAGTGCGTTTGGAGAACCCACTGTGGTATTTTTTCTTTGTTAATAAAGGAGTTGCACCTCAGAAGATGAAGACAAACAGTGAATGCAACGTGGTGGCTTTTGGAGGCGTGAGATGCTCTTTGGGAGCACAGACAGATGCTCAGGACAGTTCTAGAGGGAATAATAATATAATAGTAATAATACTGAACCACTGTGATGACAGACTTTAGCTGAGGGGTTTCGGAATGAGCAAAACAACATTTCAGATGTTTTACAATGTGCTGAAAATGCTGAAAAGTCCATTAATACGTCCCATCATGTACATTCTCATCATCACATCATCTGTTCAAACTAAATCACATCACTTTACTGATGTGCAAGCACAGAGTTTATTCAGTAAATGTCTTTTCACTGTAGTTAAAGGTGCAGTAGGTGATTGTCTTCAGAAGCATTTGTTGTTGTGCTGGTTGAAAGTCTCTTCACAGTCCAATTGTAATGAATACAGTAAATGATCTAAACAAGTTTATATGTATTTTTATATTCTGGGTAAAGCATAAAACTAAAAAATGTTCATCCAATTAAGTAGAGTTGGACTGTCATCTCCCTTAATACCGATAGGCAGGTCAGACTGTCTGTCAGCAAATGTAGATTCTGCGCATCTGTTCACGCAGATCCGCCATTAGCGTGTGCCCGTCTGTATCACAAACGCATGCGCTCCGAGCGAGCTGCGGGCCTCTCGCAGATGCCGAGTCGGAGGCGCTGAAGGTAAGCCGAGCTCGGGCCGATTACTGTAAAGCCAGGCGCGGGTATAATTCGCCCTTAAAGCGGCCGCGCGGTCACGAGACAGACCGGGAGAAATCAAATGCAGAATTGAAACTTTTAAAAACCTGAATTAATATTGGAGTTACTTTAGCAAGCTGGAGGAAGGACGACACCAGGGCTGAAGCATTACTGTTAGACAGGTAATGTTCTGTTTTGAAACTATTTTATGTTAGATTGTGTTGTTATGAATGACTTATATGCACAGACGTGTTGTTCAGCCACTGAAATCTCCCGGTGAAAGATTGATGTGATTATTATCAGTTTCATAAGGTTCTTTGACAGCATCTATAATGTAGATTTATATTTAGTTTAACAACAAAACATCAGTAAATAGCGCTCATCCGCCTAACCTGCTTTACTGAGCTAAAGTTGCTTTTATATTCACATTGGGTCATTTCTGAACAATGACAGCCTTCCTCTACTGTTTACCATGCTACTCTGAATATTCGCTCTGAAATAGCATGTAAGTGTGGCTAAGTAATACATGTAATTCCTGCACAGCACTGGCACTAACTAACTGGCGAATGACATGAACTAGTGGGTTGTCTGTCGGCTGTTGTGACACGGTGCTCGCGCTCGCGATTTCAGGGGGTGTGGCTTTGAATCACAGTCCCTCCCCGCTGTCCAAAGATAATATGCTAAGCGGTTAGCATTTTGGCAGATCACCTACTGCACCGTTAATGCACATTTTTCTTATTGGATAAAAAGTTTATCCGACTCATGCTGCGGTCACACTTAAGTTTAAGCATGCAAAATTATTTTGTACGACACTGCGAAAAAGGGCGGGATTAAACATGATAATTAGACATAAAAAAATTAGTGATCGCTCCGTATTTTACATTTCTGTCCAGAGAGGTCATGTTTTGATCCTTGATTGGTCTCACGCAGTCATGTGATGCGATTTCGCAGGTCAGAGTTTACTAAGCTTGAACTTTCAAACGCAGCGAACTGAGAAACTTGTCGCATGAGCTTGTGTTTCTGGTCTGCCACATTCACTTGTGTATGAACGGAAGTCTATGGGGAGAAAAGTCTAGTGTGACAGCAGCTTCACTTGTGCGCATCAGTTTTCATGCACATCAAAACATCTAGGCGTTCCCATTTTTTATGCAATATTCCAATTTAAGTGTGCATTAAAAAGAGGTGGATGGAAACATAGCTAGTGACGGAGTCTGTTCAGATTTCCCAGCTGTCACTGAAGTAGTGCTCCTCCTCCAGGTCTTCATCTTCAACCTGTTCTTCTTCTACATCACAGTATTTCTCTTCGTCTTCTTCATCCTCATCTTCCTCCTTCAGCTGAGACAGCATCGCCTGAAGAGCAGACTTCAGCTCCAGGACCTCCCTCTCCAGAGAGAGTGGCTTTCAGTTAAAGAAAATCTGATCACAACATCATCTACTCATTCACACACCAACAAATCCAGTGGAAGAACTCAAAATGAGAACAAAAGTCGAATAGGGATATTTACAGTTGAAGTCAGAATTATTAGACCACCCTGAATATGTTTTTCCCCAATTTCTGTTTAACGAAGAGCAGATTTCTTCAACACATTTCTAATCATAATAGTTTTCTAATCATAATAGTCATAATAGTTGTGACTCATTTCTAGTAACTGATTTATTTTATCTTTGTCATGATGACAGTAAATAATATTTGACTAGATATTTTTCAAGACACTTCTATACAGCTAAAAGTGAAATGTAAAGGCTTAACTAGGTTAATTAGGGTAAAGTTAGGGCAATTAGGCAAGTCATTGTATAACAGTGGTTTGTTCTGGAGACAATCCAAAACAAATATTGCTTAAGGGGGCTAATAACATTGACTTTAAAATGGATTTAAAACTGCTTTTATTCTAGCCGAATTAAAATAAAAAAGCTTTTCTCAAGAAGAAAAAAATATTATCAGACATACTGTGAAAATTTCCTTGCACTATTTAACATAATTTGGAAAATATTTCAAAAAGAAGAAAAAAAAAAACTCACAGGAGGGCGAATAATTTTGACCACCAGTATATATTATTATTATTATTATTATTATTATTAATATTACCTCCCTTAAGAAATAATTTTTTTGATTGTCTACAGCAGTGTTTCTCAACTGGTGGGTCGCAACCCAAAAGTGGGTCGCGGGGACATTTTCAGTGAGTGTAATCAAAATTTTTTTACTTAATTTGCTTATGCCAGAGTTTTATTTTGAAATGCGCCCGCGACAATCATATCGACTACTTTCTCAAGAAACACGATGTTGATCTGTGGATAAGCAATCCCTTTGGAATTGACGTGGAAAGCGTCACGTTGCTGAGCAACGAAGAGAATCAGCTGGTGGAACCGTCATGTGATAAGACGCTGAAAAAGACATTCAGTGAAGTAAGCCTCTCCCAGTTTTGGTGTCGCGAAGTGCTTTCTGAGTATCTGTCCCTTGAAACTCATGCAATCAAATCCATCCTACCATTCAGCACTACGCTTGTTTGAAAGTGGCTTCACTTCCTTGGAGCAGCTTAAGTCAAAGCAAAAGAACAGGTTGGACATGAAGCTCAATCTTCGGGTAGCAGAAATGAAACAGATGTTTATAATTGCTGTCATATTAGATATAAAAATGGTTATGATTATTATTATTATTATTTTTACTGTAACTTGCTGTTTTGTTCTGTTCAACAGGATCAGTGTTAATGTTTTATTGACAGTTTAGTTCATGGTAACTGAACCTTTTCTTGCCCTAACCACTGTTACAGTATTTTTCATTTTTCCTTTATAATATTTCTATAATGTAATACATTTTGTTAAATGACAGCAATAAAATATTATTTATTTGTAAGTCTCTGTGATTTTCTTACTACTTGTGTGTGTTAACAAATAAATTATAATTCCTAAAATTATATTATAGTTGCTAAAAATTTGAGTCACGGCTTGATGATCATGTAAAAATGTGGGTCCCATGGTAAAACCAATTGAGAACCACTAGTCTACAGAACAAACCACCGTTGGCCAATAACTTGCCTAATTACCCTAACATGCCTAATTAATCTAATTAATAGCTTAATGAATTAGCTGAATACTTAAATCCAGCAAAAACTAGTAAAATATTATGTTCTGTAATCATGGCAAAGACAAAATGAGTTAAAATTTCCATTATATAAAATTATAATAAAAAAATATATACACAATGTAACAAAAAAAAAAGTTGCAATCTATTCTTGTTGAACAAAATGCATGATTTATGAGAAGTTAGTTATAATTAGAGTCATGCTAAAGTTTTTTATTGTGTGTGTAAATTAGTCAGTGGTGCATTATGCAATATTTTATTAACATAATGAGCACACAGGAACCTATTTTAAGAATCTAGATGCAAAGTCTAAAGCTCATGGCACAAAAGCATTAAGGGCATGTCTGAATCATAGACTGTAAAATATATGGACGTAATATCCGTGACGTCACCCATAGGTTTCTACAGAGCGCAAAAGAAGCCACAAGTAGGTGCGGCTAACCGTCGCCATTTTGTTCGCGCGTCATCACACCCACGGCGGGATACCAAACAAGGGCAAAGAGGCGGAGAGTGAGCGGAGCTACAGACACCTGCTGGCATTTAGCTTGGACCTGGTTCAGACACACTTTACTTTGGGAGAAACGCTTAATACTTTATCACCTGTGACTCGTTTGTATTCTGACCACTTGTGCTTGGTTGTACACTATATCAATAAAGTGTTTAGACTTTTAAAAACACTGCTGTAACACATTGAGCCACTAAACATTGTTCTTATGACGTTTTTCAACAGGAGGAAAACGCAAATTACTTCCAAACACTTCAGATATAGTCTGTGTTAGTTAATGTAAGACTATTGATGAAATCCAGCATAACACTGTATGACAACGCTTCAGAAGACTGATCTAGAGCCCACAGCTAATCAATCTGTCAGATTCTGGAGTGCATTACAGCTCTAAATATAAATATAAACGATAAATGATCTTAAATAAAACAAATACACGTATAGAGATGGTATATAAGTATATAACTTTACTCACATGGGAAACGGAGGCCACGTGAATGGTTTGTGAGCTCAATTAAGTGCACTTAGCATGCCATGCCATCAAATAATTGTAGGAAACAAGTCCAAAAGGCAGCTGACTGTGTAAAGCCACATAAAACAACACAGAAATACGATGAATATGCCGAGTTCAGTGGCTAATCTGCAGGATTCAGCTGAGGTGAGGGGACGGAGACCAACGAGACCTAGCTGTCAATCAAGTGGCCACTCCCTTAATTATGCAAACTTAATATCACTTAATATAAAGGAAACGGATGAGTTATAAAAAAATTCACCCCCCTCACAGTTGTCATGAAGGGTAATATTAGCTGTGTTAACCAAAATCTTTTTTTGTACCAGGCTGTAAACACCTTTTTTTCTGCTGTAAAGTTGGCCATTCTAACAGTGGGCTCAATTGAAATTTGCTCTGTTTTGGAGCCAGGAGCGGCCAGGACTAGCGGAATTTCGGATGAATTGCAGTTTTAGTTACTTCCGTATTGGCTTCCTGAGGGAGAGCGGGAGGTTGCCGCTTGGTTTTGACCTTAGTCTTTTTAGCCTTTTGGTCTTAGCCTGCTGCCTGCCTTACAACCTCTCGCCTGTTATTTCATTATGATTCTGGACTGCCTCTATACATCTGTTTGCACCTGTGTTGACCATTGCTTGCCTGACTCTGAATAAACCTGCACGTGGATCCTACTTCAGTTGTCAGTGTCACTCCCCGTGGTTACAATAATAGATGAATGCATTGCATAATGCACGACTAAGTTTTACACAAACAATAAAACAACTTTAACATTACTCTAACTGTAACTGATTTCTTATAAACCATGCATTTATTCACCAAAACTAGATCACAACATTTTATTTTATTATTTTGCATTATGTACATTTCTTTCATTGCAAGTCTCTCAGATAAATCACTAATAAACACTTGCATTATGTCTGGCCTGACAGCGGTTTCACAATTATACACTAACAAAAGACGAGCCCTCTCCTCAACAGCACTTCATAATTCAGATCTCAGCTCATCTCCGCGTTCACTTCAGCCGATCTCTCCTAAATAATTCATGCTGCTTTTATGAGACCGTCTCAACCCTCATCAGCGCTGGATTGTTTAACTCGCCGGAGCGGGACGAGTGTCCGGTATAAGTGGCGAATCAAAGCGACGCCGCTGGTGGCAGATGGAGCCTGACGGGCACGTTTTGCTCTCCAAATGGCCCCAGATTGTCCCCATTCATAATTAAGCAGCCGTTAAAGAGCGCTTCATGAATTATGAAGGAGGATCGGTATGATCTCCCTCCGCTCTAATGAAGTTCCTCAGGCACAAAGCAAAGCATGCCTTATTATGAGTTTATTTGCTCGTCTATCTGCTTAACCAATGCTATCAAACCAGCTTCATCTCTTACTGTGGGTTTCATTAGCGCGTTTCTGTTATCGATATGAAAAGAAAACCTTATTAACAGTTTCCAGGAGGGACTTCGGAGCTGTTTTGTTTATACACACTTTTTGATGGTGATCTATTATTGGGTTTAGGGTTGGGTCGATAGACAATGCCATCGCTGATGGCCGATAAACTTTACGGTGCTGAGCCAGCAACTCGATTCATCGCCCCGCCCCACATTTATATTTATATATATCATATCATTTGCCTGTCATCTTAATAGCAATACCGGTCTTTTCATGAGCTGTGTTAAATGTACATATAGCTGCCGCTTGCATGACTGACAGCATCGTGAGGATTAAATGAAGGATTATAAAGCACCTCTTATGCTTAATATGTGTAGATTCAGTGGCAAACGCTGTTATCTGCAAACCACGTCCCACAGACTTTACAGTGAGTGGCTTTAGTTATTTTCATAGTGGACTTGAAGCCACTGGAAGTCTTTTATCCACTCTTGGAAAAGTGTAAATGGTGGATTACCATTCAGCACATGATCACTAATAAGATGTGCCATTATTAGTAACTTTAGGTGGTTTCTAAAACAAATCTGTCAGTGTTATTGTCATTCTCTCATCTTCCGTGCTGCACATTTTCGCGGTTGTAGCTCCTGTCATCTGAAGGCATTGAGTGAGTGATTGACAGCTGATATTAACCAATCATTCGCGTTCAGTTCTAGAACAGTGGGCCAATAAGAAGAGCGCGAAGGTGGGGCTAGCATTGCGGCCTTTGTTTTACTTCGAAAAGTTCACATAACAACTGTTTTAATGTTCCTGTTAGGCGTTTTTATGTGCAAAGATGTATTTTGCATAAATGTCTCCTAAATCCGCGCACACCGTGGGGATTTTGCAATGAAAACAGTGAAAATGCATGCACTAGCACAAATGCTTCCAAATAT